CATGGGACCCTGACATGCTGCAGTGGCCCCAGTACTGCTCACCTCTGTTTGGGCTTTGCCTTTTTGTTGCGATCGTGAGAGCACTCGTGCTTGTTTGCTTAAGCTTTTCTCCTTTGGCATGTGCCATACCCCAATAAACACTAGAGGCAGTACACTGGTGTGGTTTTCTTTCTGAGCAGGCATTTTCGTGTTGCAACAAGACTGCTCTTCTGCTGAGGCCAGAAAGCTGTCCTGACTTTCTCCTGCCCTTTCAGGTACACAAAGGGAACACTGGGACATGTATGCAAGTGGATGGGCAGGAGATGACAAAACGGTGGCCACAGGGAGCCCACTGACATCTAGGGGGACCATCATGTCCCTGGTAGCATGTGGCACAAGAAAGACATAAAATTATTTTAGGGAGGAAGTTGGACTGGAGCTGGCTGTGGTCTCTACTGCCGTCCTCTCTTTGTGGCATGGAGGAAGCTCTCAGCCCTTTGAGAGTAGAGCTGATGTTTGGGATCACAGTTGGAGATGTCAGCAGATGCTGCACACCTGTTGGGTCCCTGTGATGGTGTCCATCTGTAGAGTCATAGGATGTCCCCAGTTGAGAGAAAGGCTGCCCCACTCTGCTCTGTGCTGAGGGGAGGCCTCATGGTGATCCTATAGCTTTTCATGACCTACAGCCCATTATGGCCTACAGATCCTCATGGCCCTACAGTTCCTCAGAGGGAGCAGAGGGGCAGCACTGAGCTCTGCTCTCTGATAACAGCAACAGGACCCAAGGAAATTGCATGGAGCTTCATCTTTGGAGGGTCAGGTGGGGGTGAGGGAAGGGCTTTGCCCCAGAGAGCGGTGGGCATGGCACAGCTCCCCAAGGCAGTGGGCATGGCCCCAATCTGCCAGAGCTCAGGAAGCATTGGGATACCACTCCCAGACATCGAGTTTGGGTTTGTGTGGTGTGTTGTGGAGCCAGGATTTGGACTCTGATCCCTGTGGGTCCCTTCCAACTTGGGACATTGTGTGATTCTGCGATTCTATAATCCCAAATTGGAACGAATCCCCAAAGATCAGAGTCCAACACCAAGTCCACCTCTGCCTGACCACTGGGGGCAATGTGCGGCCTCCATCTCTGCCTCGCCACCTCCTGAGGTCCTCATGAGGGTGGAGGTGGGCACCTTCCTCTGTTGTGCCAGCTGAGCGCTGTTGGAGCATCCTGCAGGGATTGGGGGAAGGGTGGCTATCCTCTATCTGGATTATTGGTGTGATTGCTATTGTTCTGTGTCAGATGGGGCCAGGCTTGGGCATGAAGTTCCAGCCTCTGAGGACAGGGAGATCACACACTGCTGCAGCCCACCCCTCTCCCAGCAGTGAAATATTGCTTACGATTGCTGCCAATGTAGAGCCAAAATCGCTCGGTGTGTTTTCACCTCTTGCTCAGGAGACCTTGAGTCACATCCCTGGTCAACCACAGCTGATGAGTCACCGTGCTCCGCTCCCTGCTCCTACAGCTGGAGACACTGCAAGCAGCCAAGGCGTGTAGCTGCTTGGATGGGGACGTTGCCTGGGCAATGGTGAATGCTCCGGGAGATTGCAAAGGGACTTGGGAAGGTGTTGAATGAAAAGACATCGCTGCCCTCTGTGTAAGCTTGCCTCCATGATTGACTCTTGACAGGGCTTCGGGATGTGTACAGAGGCTTAAAACAAATAGACACCAGAAAGCATTTTTCTTTTGTTCCTTTGATTGCAGCAGCAATTAGGGGAGAATTCTCCTGGGTTGGACTGAGTCATGACAGTTTCTGCCTTTTGTTGGAACAGCAAGAACTTTGCTTGACCTGAAAGAAGCCTTGTCTAATTTCATTGTGCTTGCCCTCCATGTTAATAATCTCTTTCAGAGCATGCTTGCACGAAGGGAATGCTGAGATGTCAGTGTTTTACTGAGCATGTGGGGTTTTAGTGCTCATCTCCGCTTGTCCTCCTGCTCTCCCCAGTTCCGTGCAGCTCCTGTCCAAGCACACAAACACCGAGCATCTTCTCCTCCACCACTTCATGCTGTCCTTCGTGTGGGCACAGCGATGTTACTGGAGATCATTGGATCCTGAGCCACATATTGCGTTTGAGCTCATGACGGTGTCGATACCCAAATCCCTGCCTGATTTCCCAAACTTGGCCGGAGACGAGGCGGTGACTCAATGAGAACGTTATCTAACCATGTGCTTGGGCCGGGAGCATTGTGCTGACTTAACAAATCTCCTGCTGAGAGCTGCTGGGAAACTGAAACCTCCCAATCACGTCGTCCTGCCTGCAGGAGGAGAAAGGAACCACGCAACTGTGTGTTTGGCAATCCGGAGGGAGGAGAGGGAATAGATCAATCTGATGCTAAATGTAGGTGCATGCGCATGGAGGTGATTGCACAGCAACAGCCTTGTGTTCTCAGCACCCTTCAGAACCCTGCTGAGTTTGACTAATATATCATAGAATCATAGAGTCAAGATTGGATAAGACCTCTAAGGTCATCCAGTCTAACCATCAACCCATCCCCACCATGCCCACTCGTAGAATCATGAAAGTTGGACAAGACCTCTAAGGTCATAGAATCATAGAATCACCAAGGCTGGAAAAGACCTCCAAGATCATCCAGTCCAACCATCCATCTATCACCAATGGTTTGTCAGTAGGTCATCCAGACCAACTCCAGCCCATCCCACCATGCCCACTCGTAGAATCATTAAGGTTAGACAAGACCTCTAAGATCATAGAATCATAGAATCACCAAGGCTGGAAAAGACCGATAGGATCATCCAATCCAATCGCCCATCAATCACCAGTAATTCTCACTGGGTCATCCAGTCCCATCCCACCACGCCCACTAACATGTCCCTCAGTGCCACATCTCCACAATTCTTAAACACCTCTTTGGATGGTGTCCCCACCATTCCTCTGGGCAGTGGCCTGACCACAACTCCCTTCTCCGCTGCAGCACACGTTGGGCTCCCAGCAACATCCAATCCTTGAGATGAAGGTGCTGCTTTGAACCCTCAAAACTCAGAGACAAAGCCCAAGCAGCCAACTGTCTGTGGTGTCTCCATGCCACGTGGCTCTGACCCACGCACACCGCTGGGAACAAGCACCGAGCCCCATCCTCCCCGCCCTATGGTGGAGCTGGGAGCTGGATGCCCTCCCCGTGCTGTGCCGCGTGCGCCGGGGTGGGATGAGCACACCCATAGGGTCAGTCAGGGTTTGGTGGCAGTGCCGGTCTAACCGCACATCGAGCACAGCCCGGGTGCCCCAGGTGCTTTTGGAAATAGGTGTCTGGGTGATATTTCTGGAGCTATTCAAACAACTGGAGATATCAGGAGTTGCTGGTGTGGATTTTCAAGAAGTGCTTAATTGCCTGTGTCGCATGGGAACTTCGGAGAGTCTCCTTAGACAGCACAGTTAGATGCCCAAATAAGCACAATGACTCTGGGGCTTCAAAATGGACTCAGTGACTTTGAAATCGCCACTCTGATTCCTCTGCTGCTGGGGACTGTGGAAAACTAAGGGGGAAAATGAACTTCTCGGTAAAAATTTTAAAAAAGAGAAAAGAAGTGTTTGGTAACCAGGTTTCCACAAGGAAATGATGTAGAATCATAGAATCACAGAATTGTTTGAGTTGGAAGGGACCCTTAAAGGTCATCTGGTCCAACTCCCCAATGCAGGATGCTTGCACACTTGTATTTCTGCAGGTGTGTCTTGTAAACGAATTCCTTCTCAATAACAACATCAACAATGGAGCGTTTTGATAAACTTCCACCTTTCTAAAATTCTGCTGTAAATAAGCTAAAAAAAGACACCTACCCGTGTTCATAACAGAGGGCTCAACACAGCTCACGACTCTACCTGTCTGCCAAAAATATATTTGCATATAAATGCCAAAGTAAGCCAGGTAGTTGAAAAGCGTGCATTTCCTCCAGTGAAAGTTATTGTGCGCTCTTTTCTCTCCATTTTATGTCTCTACAAACAAGGTGAGCTGTTTAGCATCCTCTGCCTCACTAATTGCATGTAAGCAGTTGCAGCACGCATTATGTGGGCAGCTCGTTTTGCATGCCTCCTTCTCTCCGCCTGTTCTCAGGGCCGTCTGCCTGTCTGTCCGCACTTCCCGTGGTAGCAGCTGACTTGCTGAGGTTTTCCTTGGCTCTTTTCATGGTCACTCACTTCCTGAAGCCTTTAGAGAGCCCTCAGGGGATTTCCCATTGGCGTTTCTCCACAGATGCAGAGGCTGTCTTGGCATGAAGACTGCAGCACTCGTGTTTAGTGAGAGCTTGGCCCGACAGTAGGCAAATTTCCAGCTCCAGCCATTGCCATGGCATCTCCTCTCCAGTAGGGTTTTATTTATCGAAAAGATGCAAAGCCTCATCAAAATGCAATTTGCTGAGCCCTGGCTCTGGATTGAGAAATTACTTCTCGAAGCCAAAGGCAATTTTCCACGTAAAAAGAAGGCTAAGGGTGTAACATAGGTGTGTTTTGGGAATTGTGTAAGCTGTGCTACAATTTGGCATGAGCCGCAGCGCTTGCCTGCCATAGGGCTTTGGAGTGAAAGATGAAAATAAAGATAAACGTAAGCAGGGAAACAACCACAATGGATGAAAGGTGAAAAAAAGCCACGTCTGTCACAGCAGGACTGTTACTGTGCCGCAGAACTGCATGGCTTCTTAGTCAGAGCGCTGCCCTTTGGTAGACATGGTTGTATCTTTTTTAATTTTCTTCTGCATTATAGGGTGTGTTTCTGGGTAGGGTCAATGTTTGGCAAAGTGAAGATGAAAATCTGTAAACCACGCCAAGCTGATGAAGACAGCAACTGTCTCCTCCTTCACGCCCATACAAACCCAGCCCACCTCCAGAAACAGATAAAAGAGTGCATCAACTGCCCTCGAGTCAGAGGGACTTCCTTCCCTTCTCCTTGCACGCGTCTTCTCGCCACCCAGCTCCATTCATCCTCCTCCTCCTCTTGATCTTGACTCCACTTGGAAGAAGCAGCCATGTCCCGGCAGTCTGTCTGCAGAAGCTTTGGGGGAGGGAGCAGAAGGGGCTACAGCTCTTGCTCTGCCATCGGCGGTGGCTTTGGAGGAGGTGGTGGCAGAAGCAGGAGCAGCTACAGCTCGTTCTCTATGTCCAGGGGATATGGAGGTGGTGGACGTTGTGGAGGCTTTGGCAGCAGGAGCCTCCATAACATGGGGAGCAGCGGAAGGATTGCCATAGGTGGATGCTACAGCGGTGGAGGTTATGGAGGCAGAATGGGTGGCTTTGGTGGAGGCTATGGAGGACTAGGCAGCTACGGAGGAGGAATGGGAGGAGGAGGAATGGGCTTTGGTGGAGGAATGGGTGGTGGTGGCGGAATGGGTGGCTTCGGTGGAGGGATGGGTGGCTATGGTGGAGGAATGGGAGGTGGAGGAATGGGTGGCTATGGTGGCCCAAGCTTTGGCTTTGGTGGCCCTGGTAGAGGTGGCCCTGGCATTCAGCCCGTGCAGGTCGACACAACCCTGCTACAGCCAGTCCATGTTGAGATCGACCCCCAAATCCAGCAAGTGAAAAACCAGGAGAAGGAGCAGATCAAGACTCTTAACAATCAGTTTGCCTCCTTCATTGACAAGGTGAGGGAGTGGGACTGGGGTTAATTAAGGGCAAAAATTAGGAGGAGCTGCCAAGCTCTGCAGAAACTTCCTTTTTGAGCTAAATATGGGCAGGCTAAGGAGCTGGAGAAGATCCTTTTCTCAAGTACTGCTATGGAAAAGATGAGAATCTCCCTTCCAGATGAGATCAAAGCTGTATCTTCAGGGCTTTAATCTAGCCTGTTGCACCAGGTTCACCTAATAGGTTATTCCTGCAAGGCTAAACGCCTCCAAACTTCTTCAGGTTTCACTTCTGCACTCTTCCCTTTCCAAACGCCCTCCTATTTAACTATTCACAAATGTAGGGTTGCTTTTCTTATTTTTCCCCCTCTTTGTTTTCAAATATCCAATCTTTTTTATTTCGGACTAGAAATCTAATGTTTCTAAACTACCAGCTATGGGAATGTGTTGGAGTTGGTGCTGCACTCTTGACTTGGAAATTCCCTCCTTTCCCTCGTCCTGCAATTGACTCAACAGCAGCCTTTTTTTTTTTTTTAACCTAACAAACTCACATAATGACACAAAGAGCGGACCACTCTTTGTACACGGTGGAAGGAGTGCCTTCATGCATCCTCCACGTGTTGGCTTTCAGGTGCGCTTCCTGGAGCAGCAAAACAAGGTTCTCTCCACCAAATGGGAGCTCCTGCAGCAGCAAGGGCCCTCGGGACCCAGGAAGAACCTGGATGTCATCTTTGAAAACTACATCCAGAACCTGAGGCGGCAGCTGGACTCTATTCTGGCACAGAGGGGACAGCTGGAATCTGAGCTGCAGAACATGCAGCAATACGTTGAGGATTACAAAAACAAGTAAGTGCAGAGATGATAACACTGAGAGCAATGCAATGCAAGCAGCTGGCAGCAATGGTAGTCTGTACCTCGCTGGTTATTTTGCTTCACATTTGTTTGTTTTATGGTAATTATGGATGGTAGATTTGTCAGTTTAAATATTATATTCATTCTAATTATGCATTTCTTTTTGTTTTTGTGTGGCCTTGGGCAAGAAAATTCAGGAAACTCAGCTTGTATTTTAACTTTTCATAGGTATGAGGAAGAGATCAACAGGCGCACAACAGCTGAGAACGAGTTTGTGGTGCTCAAGAAGGTGAGTCAGGGGCACAGTGAAGTGACTGTTTGAATGCTAAGCTTTGCCTGGGCTTTGACGGGATTTCTTCTTGGGTGGGAAATCCAATGGAGATTGTAAGGTCTGTAGGCAGCTCTTGGAAGTTTCTCATCCTTTCTTGTACGGCTGAGTAATGCTATCAGAGCTGTTATGCTTAGCACTGAGCAGTTGCTGTGGTCCTGAAGGAAGTGTGATCTTTCCTGTAGGATGTGGACACTGCCTACATGGCCAAGGTGGAGTTGGAAGCCAAGGTGGGAGCTCTGACTGATGAGATCAACTTCTTGAGGGCCATCTATGAGGAGGTAGGAGCCTTTCCTGGGCTGGGCAGGATCAAGGGTGAGGAGGGGAGATGTGGCTCAGGACCCTGCAGGTGGATGGGTGCCCATGGGGGATGTGTGTGGAGCATCCCTAGGGCTCCTCTGCTCCCATGCTCAGGTTTGTTCCCGTGTTGGTTGCAGGAACTGTCTCAGATGCAGACGATCAGCCGGGACTTGTCTGTGGTGGTGTCGATGGACAACAACCGGCACCTGGACATGGACAGCATCATCGAGGAGGTCAGACGCCAGTATGAGCAGATTGCCCAGAGCAGCAGAGCTGAAGCTGAGGCTTGGTACCAGAGCCAGGTGAGCTGGGAAGCCCTTGCGGATGCCTGCAAGGTGGCTGGAGATTACAGATAAATTACGTGAGGTCTGTAAGCCAACGGTACTGGAGCCTGTACAAGGAAGTCTCAGAGAAAGTGTGTTGATCTGACTCACTGTTTATAACAAGTCCAGAATCTTACTCTCGTGAACCATGCAAGCCTTTCAATAAATATGACCATCAGCATAAGCTAGCTAGGAAATGCCAGAACAAAGTAGCTTTCTAGAATACAAAGAATGCTTGTTAGTGTAACTAAAATCTATCTCAGAGTTGGGAAATGAGGGAAACAATAGTAATTGAGTCTCAGATACATCTTTTGCATTGAGATGGGCATCAAAGTTGTACTGACCACCAAGATGGGTTCTTTTAGCAGAACATGAACCAGAAAAGCAGCCAGGTCTTGGCAAGGCATCAGGAGTGTTTCACTGAAGGTTTGCTTTGTGTCTGTGCCATCAGTATGAACAACTGCAGAGCACAGCTGGGATGCACGGGGACAGCCTGCGCAACACCAAGATCGAGATCCAGGAGCTGACCAGGAACGTCCAGCGGCTGCGGGCTGAGATTGAGAACGTGAAGAAGCAGGTAGGGATGTGTGATATCTCACTGGATGCCTGCATCAGGCTGAAATGTTGACTTTAGGTTCTGGGGCAAAATTGTGTTCTTCAACTCTACCACTATTGACTCTGCAGAGTGTTGTCTTTTATCCTTGATCCTTCCAGTTTGGGTTTGAGGGCTTTTGTTAGAGAATAAAATGTGATCTGAGTGAGTGTCCTTCTCCTTCCTCAGAACCAGCAGCTGCAGGCAGCTATTGCTGAGGCTGAGGAGAGGGGTGAGATGGCTCTGAAGGATGCCAGGGTGAAATTGGAAGAGCTGGAAACTGCTCTGAGCAAGGACAAGGAGGAGCTGGCTCGCCTGCTGAAGGAATACCAGGAGCTGCTGAACATCAAGATTGCCCTGGATGTGGAGATTGCCATGTACAGGAAGCTGCTGGAGGGAGAAGAGAACAGGTAGAGCATTTCACCTTTGACTGAAGGGGGTCTTGCTGTCTTGTAGGTATCCCTTGAATTTTGGGGTCATAGTGCAATTTCACAGTGTGTTTCCCAGTAAAAAAGGGTTGATATGCCATTTGTACTCTGGATTATGTTTGAGGTTATCAGGATGGGCAACTGGCAACCAGTTCATTTCAGCTTATCCATTTATCAATTCAATTCTGACATATACAAGTGTCATAAAGAACTTGAGGTTTGCAAAACACCTTGCTGTGAACAGGGATTATCACTGCTACCCTCCTTAAATACTCTACTGATACCAGCATACCAGAAACAGGAATAAATAGGCAAAAAAAGAAAAGAAAATCTCTTAAGGGTGTGATGGTTTAATAAAAATAACGTTCTAAGGTTTTAAGATGTCTCTTTCATTGGGTAACAAAAATGTACTCATTTTCCTTTGCAGGCTGTGCAATGACGGAATGTCCAATGTCAATGTCTGTAAGTATGGTGGGCTGAGAAGTCTGGTGGGCCGTTGACTTGTGGGATGTGTCTCAACTGAGAAAACCTTCTGTTGTCCCATGTGTAACCTGTGTGTCTCTTCCAGCTGTGATAGGCAGGACCACCATCTCTGGAGGAAGAGGAGGAATGGGAGGAGGATTTGGAGGCAGTGGAATGGGAGGAGGATTTGGAGGCAGCGGAATAGGAGGAGGATTTGGAGGCAGTGGAATGGGAGGAGGATTCGGAGGCAGCGGAATGGGAGGAGGAATGGGATCTGGAGGTGGATTTGGAGGTGGAAGCTCTGGCGGCAGCTGTGGAATGGGAGGAGGAATGTACAGCGGAGGCTTCTCCTCTGGAAGCGGAAGGATTTGCGGCTCTGGGGGTGGCAACTTCAGCTCCAGTGGTGGGGGATCCTCCTCCATACGGAGATGCGTCACAACCACCTCCGTCAAGTCTTCAGGAGTGAGGTTCTGAGCCCTGAAGGCCGACTGAGAAAGAAACCAAGCATCTCCTCCCTTCCCCCGGCAGCAGCCCAGCCTCCTTAAATCCATCTCCGGTACCCCACCATGCAACAAACTGTGTCCCTCATGGCCAGCATGAGCCAGCTGGTCTACCTGGCTCGTCCCCAGCATGGGAGCCTGGGGGCCATGACACACTGCTCACCAGCCTCCTACTCAGTGAAGAAATAACAGTCTGAGCAAAGTCTCACACGTGGATACCCCGTACGGAGAGCTGATTTCAAGGAGGAACCGCTCTGCCTTCCTTGCTGCATTGTACATTTCTGGCTGCCCCTGTGGCAAATGTGTATAAAACCACTCTTTCTTCCTCTGTCTTGATGGCCGTAGCCCTGGGGTGCTTCTGCATGCAGTACATCCTGTTGCTTCCATTCACTTGTGTCATGGGTTGTGGTACCTGAGGGGCAAACGAGACTCCTTCTGTGGCTGCAGGTGCCCAGAGGACTTTTTCTAAAGAGAACCGAGCTTGCTTTTCTGTGCCAGGCCCCTGGTGACATGGAGCAAGATGTATTGTCCTCACCTCCCTCCCTCTTCTGTTTGTTGTATGTCCTTGGGATGTTGCCATTCTCAATAAATTGCAGAGAACATTTGTGATGTTTTCTTGTCGTTGTTTTAGAGGTTACTTCTCAGCAGAATGAGTATTGCCATGGGAAATGTGAGTTGGTGGGATCTTTGGTTGTTCTTCTGCTCAGTGTGGAAAGGCTCTGCCTGGTTCAGTATCACCTGGAGCACTGCGTGGGAGTTTGGGCACCATAATGTCAGAAGGACATAAAACTATCAGAGAGCACCCAAAGGAGGCTCCTTGGGATGTCTGAGAAGTTGACCCAGTCAGAGTAAAGAGATGGGGAAGGGCCTGGTGAGCAAAGGATACGAGGAATGGCTGAGGTCCCTTGGTCAGCCTCTCCCATGAAGGGACCTCATGTCCTACAGCCCCTCATGACCTACAGCCCCTCATAGCCCCACAGCCCCTCACAGGGAGTGAGGGGGTAGTGCTGAGCTCTGCTCTGTGGGGACAGTGACAGAACCCAAGGGAACAACATGGAACTGTGTTGTGCGTGGTCAGGTGGGGGTTAAGGAAAGATTCTGTCCCAGAGGGCAGTGGGCATGGCACAGCTCCCCAGGGCAGTGGGCACAGTCCTGAGTTGTGTTTGGACAATGCTATCAGACACACATTTAGATTTTAAGTGGTGCTGTTTGGGGCCAGGAGTCAGACTTGGTGATGAGATATTTTGTCTCTATGATTCGATTCTTCTTGACTTTTATCAGTGACAGCATTCCCTCACAGCGTGATCCTGAAGGTGGCAGGGGCTGAGGGAGCTCTGGTCTGACGATGAGCAGCCAGTAGGCTCAGGCACTATCTTAACCTTCATGGCACAGTCATTGATGCAGCCAAGGTATCTGAATAACCTGCAGATCACATCCCCATCAGGTCTACCCATGGATGGGACAGGCGTGCCATGTCAGGTGGGGAAAACGGCAGTGGCCCTGTGTGCAGTAGTGAGAGGGCAGCTTGGAAGATGTCTGTGAGAGTGGAAGTGGACACTGACCATGAAGCGAGCCCCAGGCACTTGATGTTGTGGTCAAGAGCACTAGCAGTGTTTGAGACTAGCAGCTCCTCCTGCTCTCCACTTACCAGCAATGGGAAGATGAGAGGCCGGGGAGGGATGTTCTGTCCTGACCCATGGGCATCTCATAACAATGGGATGTCGGAGAAGTTGGCCCAGTCTCTCAGTGTGTTTGTGTTATTGTGAGAGTGAGTGGGAGAGCTTGGGTCTAGCTAGAGGGGATGGGGAGCAAGGTGGGCAGAATGCTGATGTGTTTGATCTGAGCTGAGCTTCAGCTCCTGCATTGCAAGCAGACATCAAAGAGACAGAAACCGCTCTCAGTAGTGGTGTGGGAGACCCAAAGCAACTTGCTGGCAGCTGCTGTGTCCCCGTGGTGGGTCAGGAGGTGCAGCCCTCTGATAAGACCAACTCCAGGCCGTGGGGAAGGGCTGTGGGGACTTTGGAGAGGCTTCCTCATCCCTTGGAGCAGTAGGGGAGTTGGGGAACACAGCTCTGTTTGTCCCCAGAATAAGAGGATGGGAAAGCAACGCCTCAGAGCAGCTGGGCCTTTGCCAAGAGTGCTTTGGGTTTGGCTTGGTGAAGAGTCAGTGGCTTTGGTGCCTAATTTTAGCTCTGTTTCTTTTCAGTCTCACCATCTGAGTGTGGAATCCTGGTGGCTTCTCTGCCCGTGCTGCCTCCAGCGCTTTGTGCCAGGACCTGCTGGCTGTGCAGGACCCAAAGCTGCCTCTTGGTGAGGTCTGCAGCTGGGCTCAGCATCAGCTTCTCAGCCAAGTCTGGGCTTTGCTTCGTTGGACAATTGTGCCGTGCACGGTTCCTTGTGTAAGAGATCTGAAGGGATTGCTGGAGCCCAGGCTGCCTAT